ATTCTGAATGAATTCGGAATGAAATTAAATCCAGCAAAATGTTCTTTTGGTGTACCTTCTAGAGAATTCCTAGGTTATATAGTCTCAGAAAGGGGAATAGAAGCCAATCCTATCAGATTAACGCTTTTCTCACAATGCCTTCACCAAAAAACATTAAAGAGGTCCAGCGATTGACGGGCAGAATTGCTGCGTTGAATCGTTTTATCTCGAAATCTACCGATAAATGTCTTCCTTTTTATCAGAATTTTAAAAGGGAATAAAAAATTTCGGTGGGATGATCAATGCGAAGCAGCTTTCGATCAACTCAAAACTTATTTGACAACACCGCCGGTTCTCTCAAAACCTGAGTCAGATGAGAAACTTTATCTTTACATCTCGGTTTCTAATCATTCTGTAAGTGGGGTTTTAGTTCGAGAGGATCGAGGTGATCAGAAGCCGATTTTCTACATAAGTAAATCTCTTACCAGTCCGGAAACGAGATATACCATGATGGAAAAATTAGCTTTAGCAGTAGTCATATCTGCTAGAAAACTCAGACCTTATTTCCAATCTCATCCGATAGAAGTTTTAACATCTCATCCGCTTCGCTCAATTCTTCACGGACCAAGTCAGTCTGGTAGATCGGCGAAATGGGCTATCGAACTCAGTGAGTACGATATAGAATATAAAAGTCGAACTAGAGCAAAAGCACAAGTTCTGGCTGATTTTCTGACCGAACTGCCACTAGATGATGGAATCCTTATTGAAACAGACTCTACATGGAAATTACATATAGATGGCTCTTCTTCTAAACAAGGATCCGGAATCGGTATTAGGCTCGAAACTCCGACAAAGGAAATAATCGAATAGTCATTTTGATTAATGTTTCCAGCTTCGAACAATGAAGCAGAATACAAAGCTCTCTTTAGCAGGACTTCGGCTTGCTCTTGCAATTGGAGCAGAAAAAATAATAGCTTATTGTGATTCTCAGCTAGTTGTAAATCAGTTCGCTGGAGATTACGAAGCTAAGGCTCCTCGAATGGAAGCCTATCTTTCGGCTGTCAAAAAATTAGCCAGAAATTTCAAAGAGTTCGAATTAGTTCGAATACCTCGAGGAGAAAACACTTTGGCAGACGCTTTAGCTGCCCTAGCTTCTACTCCCGAGCTCAAACGAGTTATCCCAGTTGAATGTATTTCTTCGCGAAGTATTTCGGTTTAAGAAACAAAAAACGATAACATTTTGGAGGCCGAGCATATCGAAACTCCAAAATTAAGATTCGGAAACGAAAATAGTTCATTTGTCGTCACCAGATCACGAGTAAAATCTCAAGATGATGAACTTACTTCACCACTGGAACTTCCTAAAAGAAAGCCAAGAAGAAGGTTAAAGGATCAAGAGGTTCCCGCTAAAGAATTGTCTCGAACTGAACAGACACCTCCAGGTGATGAAGAAGCTCGGGAAACAATCGAAGATCCTGATATTCCTTCCGAACCCGAACCAAGGAAGTTTATACTCAAGGATAATACTTCCGCTAATGATTGGGGGGCTGACTGGAGGGTATCCATCAAAAATTTCATTCTTAATGGAAAACTACCATCAAACAAATGGCAAGCTCGCAAATTAAAAATCATCAGCGCTAAGTATTGTATAACTAAAGAGTCATTGTACAAGCGAGGCATCAATGATCCTTAACTTTTATGTATTTTCGGACCCGAGGTTGAAATAGTGACAAGCGAGGTCCACGAAGGGCTTTGTGGTAGTCATTCTTCGGGACGAGCAATGGCTTTCAAAATCAAATGGTTAGGATATTTCTGGCCAACTATGATTTCTGACTGCATCGATTACGCCAAACGGTGTAAAAAGTGTCAGATGCACGCTCCTCTTATTCACCAGCCATCTGAAATTTTATCATCTATATCCGCTCCATACCCTTTCATGAGGTGGTCAATGGATATATTCGGTCCGATGCATCGCTCAACGCGAGGCGTCCAATACTTATTAGTTCTAACTCACTATTTTTCCAAATGGATCGAAGCAGAAGCCTACGTAAATATACAAGATTCTGTGGTAAAAACATTCTTGTGGAAACACATTATTTGTCGCCATGGAGTTCCTTACGAAATAGTAACGGACAACGGTCCTCAATTCATTTCAAATGAATTTGAAGATTTTTGTTCCTCTTGGGGAATAAAACTTAGCTATTCAACGCCGAGGTATCCTCAAGGGAATGGGCAAGCGGAAGCTTTCAATAAAACCATTCTCAGCAATCTTAAAAAGCGTTTGAATGCTCGGAAAGGTGGTTGGTATGACGAGTTGCAACCTGTGTTGTGGCCATATCGAACGACCCCGAGACAAGCAACGGGAGAAACTCCATTCTCATTAGTATATGGGATGGAAGCTGTAGTCCCAGCCGAGCTGAATGTTCCTAGTTTACGCCGGAGCGAAGCTCCTCTTAACGAAGAACTAAATTCTAAGTTATTAGAAGATGTTCTTGATACAATCGATGATAGGCGAGATCAATCCCTTATTCGACTTCAAAACTATCAGCAATTGACCGCTCGGTACTATAACTCAAAGTTGAAAAACAGACCTTTAAATGTAGGAGACTTTGTTTTAAGGCGAGTGTTCGATAACACAAAAGAAGAAGGAGCTGGAAAACTCGGTATTAACTGGGAAGGCCCTTATCAAATCACAGAAAAAATCCGAAATGGTGTTTACCGTCTACAAGACCTTTACGGAAACCCCGTTCAAAGGCCTTGGAACATCATCAACTTGAAAAAGTTCTATTGCTAAAGCAAACACAATTGAACTACGATTTGGCTTGATCCTATTTTGGATACATAGGCAACTCGCTAAACACGAGTCTAGCTATAATATAAAAATAAAAATATTATTCCAGTCATGGAGTCTTGTTTTTATAAATTCGATATTCGAGCATGAATATAAAAATACATTGCGAACAATGTACAACCTGGCATGTTTCCGTACTCCTGAAGTCCTAGTTCGATCCAATCGGAAGGATGGGCTTCGAGGCGATGAAGCTCACGAGCAATATCGAGGAGACGCTTCTCTAGTTCCATTATCCTTTTCCTAATCTCTTTTTTCTCATCTTCGAGCTCGTTGTGCCGTATGATAAGCTGAAGATAATGAAACGCTTCGTTTAGCAATAACAAAAAGAGTTAAATCACTAGGATTAATAATACCTTGGTAATAAACTCCTCGTCCTTGACACGATCTTGAGCTGACAATCTCTCGATTAATACAATCGGAACCTGAATGCTGGTTCCCTTCCTCAATATCCGTGATTCTTCTGGTTCGCCAGATTCTCCTGCTTTTATAAGCTTGATATCTGATTTCCCCGGAAGATCATCACTTATCACTTTGAATGAATCGGAAGGATTCTCTGAAGAGTTCCCTCCCTCGAACATTTTTGCAGAATTATTGTGGGTAAAATTCAATAATGAATTACACCTGCTTTATACTCAAAAAAATACTCGACCACATTTACGAGGGTTAATTGATGATTTCCCAAATCTGAAATTACTATTTTCGTGGAAAATGTAAATCGAGTTAATCACTAATTATATTCCCTAGATTAAACGCATTAAATAAAGATTTGAGTAAAATCAGCAAATTTAAAGCAAAAGGGGAGTGTAATTAATATCACCGGGCCTCTAGCCCAATAGTATGTTACAAAAAAAAAACAAAAAATCAAGGGACTTGTTCGTTCAGAATTCTTCGCCCGATAACGATTCCAGCGAGGTGGACGATCCCGAACAACTTTCTGAAGAAAGTCCCTCGTCGGAAGATAAATCGAGGAGGCCGAAAGAAGGATCAATAGGTTTCTCCTTCGATCCTTCATTTTCTTCAGTTCTTAACATCGAAAATCTCCGAAATTATGAAGAACACGTAACAAAAGAGGATCCGTCGCCGGTTGCCAAGGATAGATTATAAAATTTATCCAGCATGCGGAGGAATCTTCGGAGGCAAGTAGGAATAATGGCCACGATGTCTAAACCATTCCTCTCCCATTCATGCGGTTCAGATTCCAGGCGAAGGATCTCTCTTTCCATCCTCTTTATGCGCTCATCAAGAGCACGGTGCCTCCTTCCGATTCTTTTGCTCTTATCACATAAAGCTTTATGTGTCCCGACGATCTGTTTTAACAAACATTTTGTCAACTGTCAAAAAAAAAAAAAAATTTTACAGTCTTCCTAAAAGACAAAGTTAGAAGGAAAACCTTTTCCAGGAAGTCATAACATTTGACCCTTTCCTTCTCCGTCCGGAAATGAAAAAACGTTGGGTGAATTACTCCCTTTGGAGAGAATCCATCTTCGGGTTCAAACAATGGATCCCCATTTGAAGTCGTTATTCTCGAACTTGATCTGAATGAAGACAGCGGCATATTTTAATTTTTTCTTATAATAAACTGTGATAAGTCTCTCAGAATCCTTTTAAAAGAGAAAGGTGTTCAGTTTTCTTTAAAAGTAATAATAACATATTGCGGGCCTGCTAGAGCAGACTTCGGGTCCAATTAAAATATGGCCCAACACTTTGAAAGCCGTTTTTAGGCCATGATCGAAACCATCGCCTGGTCATTTTTATGACACAATTCCCATGAATTTTAGAAACATTATCCCTCGATAAAAAGCCTAAGCCGAGCCCCATCCTCGCATCCGAGAGACCGAGGAAAAATACTTGTTAAGATTTTTTCTTTAAAAAAGGCAAGTGAGCCTGATCAGCTCATCTCTCACAATTCATAAAACCTCGTTGGTGGTCTAGGACTTGCAAACCTAGAATCGCATCCAAACGTTTTACTTGAATAAAAAAATCATTTGCAAGAGCATGTACATGATTGTGTTCAGTCACACTAATTAAAAAAAAACACATTTCTGTCAAACGGAGTAGTCCTCATGGATTCAACAAAACAATTTTTAAGAGCGTTCCTCTCCCTCAGGAGAACCCTCGTATGGCCGAGAACCTTCACCTACCTCGAATTGAGAGGGGGAATCTCCAAATACTAAAGAAAATTGTTCAGATCGAGAATAGGACGGGAAGCCGAGGATAGCTCGGATTCAACCGCAGCGAGTTCGGCAACAACTTCTCTCCTCTCGCTCTCGAATGAAACTCTTCCATTCTCTAGTTCCTCAATCAGGTCTAGATTGCTCTTCAGCTTGGCTCGATCGGTTAGAAGTTTAGTCCAGACCTCTTCGTCTTTGGTGAACTTCGTAACAGATTGAATAAGTTGCCTACCAAATCCCCTCATCTCTTCTCGAGCGTTATGTTCGGCTTCAGCGATATCGCGAGCCCTGTTCCTAGTTAATAGCTCGGTCTTTTGATTCGCTTCTTCAAGCAAAGTCGTAGTCTCTTCTAGATCAGCCTCCAAGCGAAGAGCATTAGACCTCGCAGAATCTCTTTCAGCGTTCGCAATTCTGATACGTTGCTCGTTAGCTGCTAGAGTTTTCTTCATGTTCTCAAAAGATGACTCGAGTGCTTTTGCCTGCTCACGTCGCTCAGACTGATTGACTAGTCTAAGTTCATCGACCTCCTTCTTAGCCTTTGCGGTCTCTCTCATCGCTTGGTGAAGAAGGTTCTCATAATGGAAAATCATTCCATTAGTCTCCATAAACGCCTTCGGAGTAAAAAAAAAGTGTCATTAAGACAAAAAGTTTTTTACTTAAGAAAGAAGGGTTGTCATGATCTAAAAGATCTGAACCTGGGATAGGTAGCAGACTCGATTGGCAAACATCTGACGGATTTCTGGCCTCCAAACCGAAAAGGGGGGAAGGGATGCCCCTTCCCTGGTCTGAAAACTTCGGAACATGTCTCCAATCTCTTCTTCGCCTACAAAACAGAGGAGAATAGCAGATTGATAAAATAGTTGCAATCCGTAACAAGTCTTGCTAATGCTCGCTTTCTAAATAAAAACTTACCTGAAATCGAAGCGGGTAAAAGATTTTGAGTCCTAACACTCAGTCCTTGAGATAAGGGAGCCTCCGGTCTCGGCTCATCGATTTCCTTTGGAATTACTCTATCTCCCGGAAGAGGGAGCTCAGAGTCTAAAGGTTCTGAAGAGGGAAAAACAGAATGCAGGGGGCTAGGGACTTGTGGCGGAGAACTTAATCTCACGGTTTTGAGTCTCTCGTTTGATAGAGTATCCGAGTCTGGAGCCTTCCTCTTTGTACAAGGAGAGGAAGTTACTTCTCTCTCTCCCTCTTGTGTGGAAGGGAAAATAGCGGTGGCAACTGGAGGGTCGTTAGGAATATCGGCTCCATGAGAATCTACCGCAAAAGACAAAGCCGCTTCTAAGGAACCATCATCAACCAAGAGGGTCTTCCTGTGGAAGTTACCAACCCTGGAGATTGCAGCTATCCACTTCTTCTCTGATATGTCTATAATTTGCATGTTTTACACATCCATTTATCATCATTTTGAGTCTAGTTTCATTCATCTTTCATAGCATTCATCATCATTTTGCACAGTTTGCATGTTTAAGTGTGTCTAGCATTAGTCTTGCATGCATTTTGCATTCTGAAGTTGTTTCAGGTGTTTCGGAGCTATTGGTGTTCAGAAAGAGGAAAAATAGAGCTAAAAGTCACATTTGGACCATTCTACTCGATCACTAGTAGCAGAGAGGGAAGCACATTCTACTCGATCACCAGTAGCAGAGAGGGAAGCAGTCAGCTTAGCAGACCATCATGACCCTTATACTCGATCACAGGGCAGTCCATCCTGACAGACTACCCACATACTCGATCGCAGGGTTGAAGAAGCAGTCCATTCTGACAGTCTACCCACATACTCGATCGCAGGGTTGAAGAAGCAGTCGAGATCACGCCATCAACCATTCTACTCGATCACCACCTCGACCCTTTGATCAATCCGCACTCAACCAGACAACGTGAGCATAGGAAAGAGAAGAGGAGAGAAGGAACCACTTGATCGCGGCTTCGATTCACGCTTGACCATGAAGCCCACTTTGAGCCCATATACTCGACCTCCACGTTCCATGGGCCTGTTAAGCGGACTCGAAGCCCACTTACTTATCCTTGTTGTTTTTGCTATAAATAAGTCTCTAAGGGTTTCCCTTGAGACATTCACTTTTCATTCACTTTTAATTCACGTATTTAGTCTCGAACCCTAGTATTGTTTTAGTAGCCGCTTTTGCTTCTGCGAATTTGTATTTTTTGTTTTCTTCTAAGTTATTGAGATTTCGCTTTCATTTCCTGCTTCATTTTCTGTTTCATTTCCTTTGATCTTTGAAGTTATGCAATTATCAATCGTTTCTGTGTCTTTGAGCATGTTGTCTGAGTAGTGACTAGGATTTCTGAGGATGGGATAGAGTAGATGTGAGACCCTTAGTCGATTCTGATGGTTAAGTGTAGTTTTATTGAATCCCTTCTGGATTAGTTGTGTTTACTGCTTATTCCTTTCTGATCAACTGGAATTCGATCAGAAGCATTCCCGCACCCAAAAGGTGTTCGATGGAATGCTTGATCTACTAATTCTAGTGATAATCGTCTCTATCCCAAGGGATTGGCCGTTTAGAGCGGTTATTGACTTTAACAGTCGGTTCTTATTGCCTGCATAGTTAGATTCTGTTAATGGGAATTAGTCTGGGCTAGCTTTGCTTGAGGATTTGTTGCACGGGAGTGAACAAATCTGTTGTTGAACCTGTTGTCTAGGGATAGCTTCATTGAGAATTGTTAACCATCGAAATTGATTATGGAGTCCACACTATTTGATTACCCCATCCTTAGGAGTTTCTTATCCAATTGATTTATCTGTTTACTTACCTGCTGCATTCACCTTCTCTGTTACTTACTATTGAGTTTTGATAATTGACTGTTTTTGGACCCTTATACTCTATCACATCCTCCTTCTGGTAGTGCGCCTTGTGATAGAGTATATTAGTCATTTTTGTGTCTTTTTACTACTTTCTGTACTAATCACTAGGACTGTTAGAAAAACAACCAATTCATGCTTGGCTTGACTTAGTGCTTTCTGATCATATCTCATTTGTTTGCATCACACCTGATTGGATTGACACCTAAAATACTACAACGACAGGATAGTGTTTTAGGATAATTTATCGTAAAAACCTATTATCAATTTGGCGCCGTTTCCATTTGGGTGTTATCTTTGCTATATTTGAGATTTTTGAAAAACGTTAAGATCAAGTTCGTTTTTTTTACAAGGGTACTAACGCTGTGTCTTTCTCTTTGTTTGTGTGTTTCAGGTACTATCTCTGATTACTCTGTTCAAGCTGAGCTGATACCTGTTGCATGCATACTAGATCAAAAGGACATCAGTTGCTGCTTTTCAACGAGAACATCGACCGTATTGCTTGTGAGTTAAGAGAACAGACAGTCACAGACGTTATGGCCGACGATTAGAACGTAGATTTGCCAAACAACATTGGTGCAGGCGATGCTCCACGCAATGACAATCAGCGCAATAGCATTGTGCCTCCACCAGTGCAGAACAACAACTTCGAGATAAAGAGTGGTCTCATTGCCATGGTTCAGGGCAACAAATTTCACGGCCTCCCAATGGAGGATCCACTCGATCATCTGGACGAGTTTGATAGGCTCTGCAGCCTAACTAAGATCAATGGAGTTAGTGAGGATGGCTTCAAGTTGCGTTTGTTTCCATTTTCTCTTGGAGACAAAGCCCACCAGTGGGAAAATCACTTCCTCAAGGCTCCATCACCTCCTGGAATGACTGCAAGAAAGCCTTCCTGACTAAATTCTTCCCCAACTCCAGGACTGCAAGACTCCGGAATGAGATTTCTGGCTTCACTCAGAAGAATGCAAAGACTTTCTGTGAAGCATGGTAGCGTTTTAGAGGATATCAGAATCAATGTCCTCACCACGGTTTCTCCAAAGCCTCACTCCTGAGCACTCTCTACAGAGGAGTTCTCCCCAAGATCCGGATGCTCCTGGATACAGCATCCAACAGGAATTTACTGAACAAGGAAGTTGAAGAAGGATGGGAGCTGGTAGAGAATTTAGCTCATTCTGATGGAAACTACAATGAAGATTATGACAGAACCATCAGAGGAAGTTCAGACTTAGAGGAGAAGCACCGCAAGGACATGAAGGCCATGAATGACAACTTGGAAAAATTACTTCTTGTGCAACAGAAGCAAGTCCATTTTCTCTGTGAAGATGAGACGTTCCAAGTCCAGGATGGGGAGACTCTCCAGTCAGAAGAAGTAAGCTATGTGCAAAACCAAGGAGGCTACAACAAAGGCTACAACAACTTCAGGCAGAACAATCCCAATCTGTCTTACAAAAGTACTAACGTTGCAAACCCGCAGGATCAAGTCTACCCTCCACAACAGCAGATCCAACCCAAACCATTCGTGCCATACAACCAAGGACAAGGGTTTGTTCCTAAGCAACAGTTTCAGGGAGGTTATCAAACACAACATCCACCACCAGGGTTTGTACCACAGCAACAACAAACCTCTAGCGCTCCTGACTCAGACCTGAAGCAAATGCTCCAACAGCTTCTTCAAGGACAAGCATCAGGTTCAATGGAGATCGCAAAGAAGCTGGCCGAAATGAACAACAAGATAGACTGCAGTTATAACGATCTCAACATCAAGGTAGAGGCACTGACTTCAAAGGTCAGATACATGGAAGGCCAAACTGGGTCAACCTCTACTCCCAAGATTACAGGACTTCCAGGGAAGTCAATTCAGAACCCCAAGGGGTATGCCACTGCTAACGCCATCACCATTTCCCATGATCGAGAGCTGCCTACTCGACATGCCCTTAACTCAAACACTGAGGGCAGTGTGGTTCAAGAGGGGGAGGATTTCTGTCAAGATGACGTTGTGGCTGACCAAACACTAGAGGAGCCCATACTTGACAAGCAGTCTACTCGACCACCAGCGTCACCAGTCGCTCCCACTGTTGAAAAACCAGCTGCTGCAAAGACCAAGGATACAGTCTTCGTGACACCTCCCAAGAAATTGGGAGATCCTGGTTCGTTTACCTTACCTTGCTCTATAGGTCCTTTAGCCTTCAGTAACTGCCTATGTGATCTAGGTGGTTTTATAAGTCTCATGCCTCTCTCTGTTGCCAAGAGACTAGGTTTCAGCAAGTACAAATCTTGCAACAACTTCTTGATCCTGGCTGATGGGTCTGTTAGACTACCTCATGGGTTATTAGAAAATGTGCCTCTTAAGATTGGTAATGTTGAAATCCCCACAGATTTTATAGTGCTCGAAATGGATGAAGAACAAAAAAATCCTTTAATCTTAGGGAAGCCCTTCTTAGCTACAGCCGGAGCAATCATAGATGTCAAGAAAGGGACGATTGATCTTAATCTTGGAAATGATTTTAAGATGAAGTTTGACATTAATGATGCTATGAAGAAACCTACTCGACATGACCAACACTCAATCACTGCGGACAGTGAAGTTCCGGAAGGGGAGACTTCTAGACGCATTGAAGTCTCAGTTGTTCAACTCAATCACTCAGCTAGATCTCAACATCAAATTCAGCCCACCGTGGAAGACAGAGTAGCCATGATTAAGAGAATGGTAAAACGGTTTAAGCCAACTCCATTACCTCCACTTGCTCTTCCAGGGAAGTTCAGAATGGCGTGGAAAGAGAAGTATGAATCTCTTGTTGAGAAACAACTTGATGGGAACGAAGCAGTGATGCCGTTAACAGAGGTTCTCAAGCTGATTCCAGACCCTCACAAAGATGTGAGAAACTTAATTCTGGAAAGAATCAAGAGGTATCACGATTCCGGTGATGGATACAATGCCACTCCGTTTCAAGCTGTTGGTGAAAAGATTGTTCAGGAAAAGTTGGAAGATCCGGGATCTTTCACTCTGCCTTGCTCCATTAGGCATATAGCTTTCAGCAATTGCCTATGTGATCTGGGGGCTTCAATTAGCTTAATGCCGCTTTCTGTAGCAAGGAAGCTGGGATTCGTTCAATACAGGCCCTGTGACCTGACCTTGATTCTTGCTGACAGGAGTTCAAGAAAACCTTTTGGCATGTTAGAGGACCTGCCTGTAATGATCAATGAAGTAGAAGTGCCTACCGACTTTGTGGTGCTAGAAATGGATGAGGAATCTAATGATCCTCTAATTCTAGGGAGACCCTTCTTAGCTTCAGTAGGAGCGATGATAGATGCCAGAGATGGGAGAATTGATCTCAACCTTGGGAGGCATATCAAGCTGCAGTTTGACATCAACAACATTCCGAGAAGATCGACAATTGAGGGAAAAACTTTTGAGATCCAGAGAGCGGTCCCAGGAGAAGCATTTAAGACTACAAGAGCAAAGGAACCAACTTTAGCTCAAACTAAGCTGTCAACTTCAATTACTCAATTGAGTCCACTCTCAGCACCCGATTGGCTAGAGCTCAAAAGAAATTCTG